TGACGTGTTTTTCCATCATGACAACGCCCCTGCTCACACAGCCGTCTGTACAATTCTTGACCAAAAATGGTATGACCCCTGTTCCTCACCCTCCATACTCACCCGACCTTGGCCCGTGCGACTTTTTTTTTTGTTTCCTCGAATGAAAAGAGACATGAAAGGAAAAAACGACAGAGACGCTGTCAAGCATCTCAAAAGATGAATTTAGACAATGTTTTGAAAAATGGAATAAAAGACTAGACAAGTGTATTAGTGTAAGTGGAGAGTACTTTGAAGGGGATTGAAGGTTTGTGCTTAAAATTTGAATAAATAAGTTTAAAAAAAATAAGTTCGGTTTCTTTTGGGTACACCCTCGTACAGAGGAATACAGAGAAGAGTGTACCAGCCCAAGTGAGATGGCCTTGGTATACTCGTTATGCATCTGTATGAGACATGCATACCTGGTGCTAAGTTGCTTCTTCATGATGGCGAGCACTCTGTCGGTGGCACACTCTCGAAGCAGGGCAGAATGCAGAACAAGTGTGGACACCTGCCCAGGGTCATGCTCCTCAAAGAGATCCAGCAGGGTGTGAGCAAAGCTGTGAACAGCTGGGCCGAACGCCACATTGCCTGGGGCATGGTTCTGCTGCAGTAAGCTTGTGTTCAGGTATGACATAAGTCCCTGCAAACAAACAGAAGACTGTTTCTCTGGGTAACATAATTAGGAATGTACAAGCAGCACCAGTGGGCCTGGCCATCAGCACATACCCTATGCTTCCCCCTGGCTGCTACGTCAGGTGGGACTGCCATCTCCTTCACTCTGTTCACAACTTCCACTGGTGCCAGACCTGCCATCGTGTAGTACGGAGCAGTCAACTCCCAGTCTGCCTCCTCATCGCTCCTGCAGGACAGCAATGTTCATCCCAGTTACTCACACTTACTTGATCAATTACAATTTTCATAATTATATAACTTCACACATTGATGTCTTCAAATAACACAGCAACTACAACATATTTCTCATGCCAAAAGTAATAAAATAAATCCTGTAAACAGCAAGTCCACTAATACCAACATTATCCTAGTAATTCCAAAAAGGCCTACACTTATACGAGTTAACCAGTACAAACTGCTGTAAAGATGAGCAGAGGTCTGACAGTGTACCATGGTTCCAATTGCTAATACGAACTGCTGTTACTCACCATAAGTCTGGAGGAAGTCAAAGTCAAAGTACAATTGTAACACAATGGGATTATAAGTCTGCTGGTCACAGGTCAAGGTACAATTGTGCAGTGACATCATACAAAGATGAGTGGGGTGGTGAAGGTGGGGGTGGGAAACATATTTTAACTCTTGTACTTACAATAGCAGAAGCTGGGATAGCTCAGTCAGTACAGCAACGGGCTGGATGGCTGGGGTTTGATACCTAGCAGGACCAAGAGATTTTTCTCCTCTCCATACCTCTGGGGCTCAACTAGCCTCCTATCCATTGGATGGATACCACAGGCTCTTTCCTAGGTGGGGGAGGTGACCACTCAGCTTCATTCAGTGCCAAGGTCAAGAATGGTGGAGCTATACCACAACTCCCCTTATTCTTTCAAGGTGTGGTGCTTAATTAATGAAAGGGACATGACCTTTATTTACAATATTATTTAAAGAAATAGCTAATTTCATTAGCAGCTACTCAAGAAATTCCTTATCTTTCATGGCACATGGAGAGCTATACAACAGCACATCATTGGACCATATCTCGAATCCATACGGCCCAGCACAGCCCATTCATGTACTCACATTATGTAGTAGTCTGCCAGCAGCGCACAGGAATCCCGGTACAAGTCCTTGATCTCACTGGTGAGCTTCTCATCAGAGCTGGTTAATGCTTCAGATGAGCCTGGCTGCCAGGTGGCAGTGTTGAGGGCCATGCGCAGGATGACATGTCCTTCGCAAAGAAGATGGCGGTATGTTGCAGGACTTGACCAGCGATGTGCTGAACCAACACTGAGCATGTCACTGTACAGTGCAGCAGGAGATGGTACAGTGAGTGAGTACAATGTCCATCCTCCGCCACAGTGCGAGCTGCAAGAGCGTCACACATTTGCACATTACAAACCAACTGAAGTGGTTTCTCGTGGCTTTCCCTTTTTATATCAAATGTAATCCTATGTCACAAATCATCACTTTTCCTCTGTAACAACTTTCCTTAGTAAACAAATTATAATGAATCTTATGACTGATATCTTCCTGGATGAGACACCAGACAGTCTGGTACGTTCTGCTCTGGATCTAAACACTAAACAGAACAAAATTTTGAATGAAGTTTAACATTGACATTATTGACTTGACATTGTCAAGAGACAATATTGTTATTATTATTATTATTATTATTATTATTTTGGAAGGGGTGGGTTTCCCCATGCACTGCGACTAGTTGTTAATCTATTGTGCGTCCACCTTCAATTAGTCTATCAGTCGCCATGCCCTTCCAGTACTGGTGCTCGCTATCAGCCCCATTCTGCCAGCGAGGTCGGCCCTCTCTGGCAGTGGTCCCCGATACTTCCCCATCTACCGGAGAAATTGGAAACTACTTGGGTGGGATAATATGCCTAATTTTGCTCAGAGGTCTCCTAGAGACATGAGGATCTTTTACATGCCGACACAGGATACATGGCTTAAAGTCCCTTCCGGAGGACTTGTTCCCTGAATTTTTCCACCCTTAAAAGTTCCGCGTACCTTGAGTCATGAGGTGGGAACGTTACCCCTAGACTACGGAGGCTGCTAAATTCAATGTTAAATGCAAGAACCTTAAAGCAAGGAATATTAATTAGGGGTTGCAATGTAGATGAATTCTTCTTGCTGGAGGTTACAGTCAGTGATGACAGTGCAGACACATGTAGATGTTGCAGTCATGTGACTAGTGTACAAGTGTCTTTCTTCCTGCTTAACTGAAATGAATTAACAGCCATCCTGCAAGCCAAAGCTTCTGCAACACCCATGAATGTACACTGCCAGCCTGCTTCGGCCTGAAAACACTGATGTTTAACACACACTGCCATCCTCTCCCCATCAGATAAGCAAATTAACATCCACTTACATTAAATACTACTACAGGCTTAAAGATCAGCAAAAAGAAAACTGTCCATGACTTTTTCCATGGGAAGACACAAGTATTTGCATGGCTACATTTGGTGGGGGGAGTAAGCAGCACAAAGGGCCGTGCCATAGCTCAAGCGGCGGCCCGCGTTCGATCCTGGGTCTGCTCAAGTGTGATTTGTGGTGGACAAAGTGGCGCTGGGGCAGGATTTCTCCAAATACTTCATCATCTGAGGCTGGTACAATAGGCCAGAAGTGGCCGCAGTACAAGGGACTTAGTCCCACCCCACTAGCAAGAATAATAATAAGAAGAAGAGAAAAAAAAAGGCAGCACAAACACTTCTACATGTCAGAATGCATTAAAGCAATGTGGGTGGCACCCTGTCATTGTGATAAGCTGGCCGGGAGCTGTCCCACAAGCGACAAGTTCTGAGCTCAAACACTGCTGCTGGCTGGACATGAATGCTACCAGCTGGCAACCTGAAGATGGTTGCTGGTTACAGCCATGACAAAGAAATTAAGCAACTATGACAAATTAAATTAATAATTATAAAGTGTATTTTATGTGGCATTTCTACTGGAGAACAATCTTACAGATTTTTCTTCTCAACATTCTCAAATTCCGCTGGTATTTTCATGCAGTCAACAGCTTCATCACTGCCACTGCCTCAGCAACACATTTCTGTGAACGTGCCCCTTAAACTTATGGGTGTCTGAGCTGCAGGTAATGATATAGATCCAGAAAGTTTCTATGGACACTACTGCATTGAGTGATTTTATGCATCCATGTTACATTGTATGTTCACCTCGCAGTGTCACCAGCTTCTGAAGTCAGAAATAAATGCAGTACTTTTGAATCATAACAACTGGCTGTAAACAGACATCAAAATTCCAAATTGTGCCAATTATAATTCTCCTTCACAACACCTTGACTCGTCCCTCAGGACACAACAGCATTTACTTCCTCTCTTCTCAGCTTCAAACTGAGATTCACACAAAATGTGCTTCAAATGATATACCTACTCTTGGCTAGACGAGCTGGACCCTTCAGAACAGGCGAGTAACACCAGGTGAAAGTCAGTCATTAGCAAATGTTCCACTCCCAGGAACGGGCGCAAGCCGACCAGGCACACGGGATCATCCACAGGAGGGCATGCCTATGGAAAGACAATGTGTCAAGAGTCAAGTTTAGTATCTGACAGTGACCATTAAAACAGAAACTTCCAGAAAGGAGCTTCTTAGGATTTGAGGTTCTCACAGCAGTGGTTATGAAGTGTTCTGTCTTCTGGGATATAAGTCCACTGAAAGTACACCAATATTCTGGAGGAACATGTCACCTCCATTTTCAGGGTCAAAGAATATGCCAAGAAAGACACCAGCATCAAGCAGGAAACAAACAGAGCTTTTCCACCCTGAAGATGGAAGGAAGATACATGTTCCTCCAAAATGCTGGTTGACTTTCAGTGGACTATACAGCATTATATCCCAAAGGGCAGAACTGTTCAGAACTTCAGAATTTGGTCTGTTCACAGAGCACTAACCTTGCACGACCCATCCAGCCCAGAGCCCCTACATGATGGGCGAAGCATACAGCACACAGATACATAGTGGAACCACCCAATTTAGTTTTTTCTTTCTGATTTCAAGTTTTCATTCATTTAAATATTCAATTTCAACAACCCCAAGCAACAGTCAGAGAGCTAAATGGACCTGCTGTATGACTTTCCTCGGTTTAGTGTACCAATCTACTTGTTCCACACAAAAAACCTTAAAGAGGGGCATTTTCGTATAGAAACGTAAAGGGGAGATGCCAATTTGTAGACCAATATTATCATTTTCATCAAGCTCTCAGAGTTCCACTGTCTACTGTATATGCAGGACAAGTGAAAGTGGGGACAGAATTACACACAGCACACACCGCCAGTATGTGATGAAGCCATGAGGTAAGAACACACATGGCAGGAAAGAAAAATTTGTCACGTGTTTTACAAACAGCATTAAATATCAAGATTATAGAGTCTTCTGGTATGTGATGCCATGCCGTAGTAGCAGATAAGTAGGAACTATCACCTCTATTTTGAGGGCAGAGGAATGGTTTCCATCCTGAAGGCGGAGAAAACGTGTTTCTCTGTAGTGTTACAACCCATCTACCAACTAAACAGTGTCACATCCCAGAACACACCAATCTCAGTTTTCCACTGATGTGACAAACTCAGCATCTCAGACTTCAATATATCTGCCTCATTATTGTGGTGCTTGCATTCAAACTCATTGCAAATCAGATCACCATCAGTTACCTAAATATGACTTGCAGCACTGTCCCATTGAAAACAAATAAATTCTGCTGGCAGACACACACAAAGGTGATGAGGGTGGTGACAGAAGAAACCATGAAATCAGAATCAATATTTTGTGTAGCCCCCCTCAATCTTGAATTGTAAATAAATGATTCACATGCATACACTGAACTGCACAGCGCTTACACTGGTCAAGTTGTTGGCTGGACCCAGAGCTGCTACAAACCGATGGCCAGTCCTAAGGGTGTAGGTTTCCAGGCCAGTTTCTGTAAGGGCATGCAGGACGAACCTTTCCACAACAACTGCTATCACTGGTGCAGTAAATGGATATACAGTCACACAAGCCGCCTGCTGTGCAGCGGAAGGCTCTTGCAAGTTCTGCATCATGAACTGATACAAGTAGCCCTCCTGCTGGGTCACAACTAGACAGATGATGCTCACCATGTCTCCATAATGCTTTGAGTGCACAGCATCCCCTGTTGGCACACAAGAGGAACCACACCCTGGTTACAGCTTGCACCATCACTTCCCTTAACATTAAGAAATTCTGCATTCTGCCCACACAGTGTATCTGTGTGTTCTGTATGATTCTCACAATAGACAGTCACTGTTTCCCTAAACAGCATTAACCGGTTGGGCTTTGTAGCAGAGACGTAATATGTTTCCTGTGAGGTACAGACTGAATTGCTATATATTCAGCCAGTGCAGTGTATCTGTGTGTTCTGTATGGTTCTCACAGTAAACAGCGACTGTTTCCCTAAACAGCATTAACTGGTTGGGCTCTGTAGCGGAGACGTAATGAGTTTCCTGTGAGGTACGGACTGAATTGCTATATATTCTGCCCGCGCAGTGTATCTGTGTGTTCTGTATGGTTCTCACAGAAAACAGTGACTGTTTCCCTAAACAGCATTAACTGGTTGGGCTTTGTAGCGGAGACGTAATGAGTTTCCTGTGAGGTACGGACTGAATTGCTATATATTCTGCCCGCGCAGTGTATCTGTGTGTTCTGTATGGTTCTCACAGAAAACAGTGACTGTTTCCCTAAACAGCATTAACTGGTTGGGCTTTGTAGCGGAGACGTAATGAGTTTCCTGTGAGGTACGGACTGAATTGCTATATATTCTGCCCGCGCAGTGTATCTGTGTGTTCTGTATGGTTCTCACAGAAAACAGTGACTGTTTCCCTAAACAGCATTAACTGGTTGGGCTTTGTAGCGGAGACGTAATGAGTTTCCTGTGAGGTACGGACTGAATTGCTATATATTCTGCCCGCGCAGTGTATCTGTGTGTTCTGTATGGTTCTCACAGAAAACAGTGACTGTTTCCCTAAACAGCATTAACTGGTTGGGCTTTGTAGCGGAGACGTAATGAGTTTCCTGTGAGGTACGGACTGAATTGCTATATATTCTGCCCGCGCAGTGTATCTGTGTGTTCTGTATGGTTCTCACAGAAAACAGTGACTGTTTCCCTAAACAGCATTAACTGGTTGGGCTTTGTAGCGGAGACGTAATGAGTTTCCTGTGAGGTACGGACTGAATTGCTATATATTCAGCCAGCGCAGTGTATCTGTGTGTTCTGTATGGTTCTCACAGAAAACAGTGACTGTTTCCCTAAACAGCATTAACTGGTTGGGCTTTGTAGCGGAGACGTAATGAGTTTCCTGTGAGGTACGGACTGAATTGCTATATATTCAGCCAGCGCAGTGTATCTGTGTGTTCTGTGTGGTTCTCACAGTAAACAGTGACTGTTTCCCTACACAATGTTAACAAATTTCATGCTCAAAAGGGTTCAACCTCTCATCTACCACTCCAACCTACATGAAGTCAAAAAGCTATTTCCGTCTGTGCCTAACTAATTAAGCACTATGCCATGTAGGAGTATGGCACAGTGGATGTATAGATCCACCATTCTAACTTACACTGATTAGTTATAAGGAATGATTATGGTATCACCATGTCTGTGTATCTGTCCAACATTAATAACACTTCAAAAGATTCTCATAAAACTGATACAAGAGAGAGGTCACTCCACTCACAACCAGTAACAAATAAATGGCCGCTGTGTGAACTTCTAAGGAAGAGTTGAACACTGGTGCTACTTTCTGCAGGATCCTAAAATTGGTTCCACTCTTCCTTAGCTTTGGCACTAAAGGGGGGCTAAGAATTAGTGTTATGTACCCCCCCCCAGCCACCGGATAGAAGGCTGGGTGGCCCCAAAAGTCATCTGGACTCTATGCACACAAATGGATCCACTGGGTTATGACAGCATAGAGTCTGATCCACCACTAAACTGTATAATTATAAACTCACTGACTCTGATGTTGTGACCATGTAGAGCTGTATGCTCTTCCTAATGCACTGCTGTCTCAACTTGCTGTTTGTTTCATGGCATTTTCAAATGTAATCATACAAAATTTATTATTAGGGGCACTCATGGAACGAGACTTTTAAATTCATGAAGCAGAACCATTCTGGAGAAGCTAATTATTGCTCAGCTAGTAAATTGCAAGTTTAAGGTTTATTCATTTACTCAGACACACAACAAATATTCTTGGATAGGGACTGATCCATCAAAAGGAGTCTTAACAAATGGGACAGTTCAAAGATTCATGCTGGTATCTGAGACGACAAAAAACTGAACTCATTTCAGATAGCACAGCTTTTGGAATCTGATCATCAGACCCTATCCTAAGCCATCTCAATCCAGTCTGGTCTCATACTTCATCCCTCCATAACACATTTTAAAATTATTTTCCCTCCTCACCTATATATGTGGTCTCTTCTCTTGAAATTCTCTAACCAAAATCTCGTATGCACTTATCAGTTCATCTCCCAGACACTCCTCACTCTGGACTCACTCTATCAGTATCGGGAAAAAATAAACTGTAAAGCTCTACATTGGGTAAGTTCCGCCAGCTACCTTAGCACCTCAGTTTTCTTGGGTCAAACATCTCCTTGGCACACAGCAGCAGCTAAAAGATACGAGTGATAATTTTCATTTCGTGCATCCTGTTGTGTTACTGTATACAATTCTTTATTAGAGTCCGTCGCAACACAACAATACAACAGTCAAGGCTAAAATTAGCTTGGCTACATGTTCCGGCTAGATTGGGGGCATGTGGTAGCGTAGTGGGTTGAGGCACTATGCTACAAACCAGTAGGTCGCGAGTTCAAGTTCCGATGAGGTCACTGGATTTACTATTCAACTGACCTAATCCTTCTGGCCGCACTACGGCCCTGGGGTCGACTCAGCCTCTAACAGAAATGAGTACCAGGAATTATTTAAAAAATTTTCCTGGGGAGTAAAACACAGCTGGCATGTAAGGCTGACAACCTTACTGCCATCTTTGAGCCCACTGTCTAGATAATGTGGGACCCTCGACGTCTCACAACCCTATGGGCCTTCACCGCCTGTTACAGGGCTAGCTTTACTTTACTTTACTTTACTTCTATAGATATAGATTATTAATCAAGAAGTATGAAACGGGGTCAAAAGAATGAAATGACACCTTTTCTATCACAAGGTTGTGTTTCCTCTGTCTTCATATACAAAGGCTTCAAAATGAGGCAACGGAACTCATCAGAGCCAGAGCACATCTGCCTGGTGGTGCCACTGCTTGCTTGTGGCACAGACATCTGAAGCTGCAGCAGGTGCAGAACTTCACTCCTCGCAGCCCAAGGCTGCAACACAACAAAATACAATTACAACCGCAAGGTACGGAGCACACACATGGGATACAACAAAAATGCATAAAATTTAATTCCAAAAACATGAAGTGAACCAACCACCTGCCCTCTTGAGACTAACTCCATGCAAGCAAAGTGTTTCTTGAGAATCTAACAGTTGTTCAGGTAGTCAAGAAATTTGACTTTTAAAGAACCAAAAGTTCATTACCAGGCTCTGAAGCCCCCATTCCATCCAAATTTTTATGACAAAGTATCTCTGAGATTTACGAAATATATGAGCACTTGTATTTATGATTTGTGGAATGAGATACAATAGTCGTTCCTCATTTCCATTCTACAAAGAAATGCTTGGCCCAGAATTTGCACTCACTGTGGCACTTGGTGAAGCACAATGGACCATGGCTGTCATGTTCAATGCAGCTGCCTGGAATGGCGACTGTCGATGTACAACTCCAGATGGGCTACTGGGACAGCTGGCTGCTTTCTCTGCTACAATGCTAGGAAGATCCACTCGAAGTGGGAATGAATTCTGATGCAACTTGGAGCGTGCATCAAGTTCACCTCTCAGGATCCCATCCCAGTCAACGTGAGAATTTGAATTGGTATCTTTAGAACCAAGTAATAAAACTATAACCTTACAATATGTCTGGTTCCACATTAGACTCAACAGAACAAGGTATTTCAAATAAAAGTTTTGCAATTTCAATCATTGAAACAAGTATGACGTCGATAAAACTGACATCAACAATAACCATGAAGGTGACAAACTGTTTACAGAAAGAAAAGAGCTAGAGTCTCACCATGATTGCGATGATCTTGGGACCCTTGCCTCCCATCTTCAGTCTCTGTCCCTGGCCCAAGCCTGAACACATGCACAGACTCCTCAGCCATGCAAGCAATGATATCCTCAGCTAAAGACAGACTGGACGGGCTGAAGCTCAACTCCACATAAACACCAGAATCCTCAAAGTCTATGAACTGGAGGCGCGAAACATCACGCGTGCAGACACGAAAATGGTACAGCGTCAATGTCTTGTGGGATGCCACCAATAAGTTGCCTGTTGTCTGTAACAATCATCACTTTCAAACAGTGAACACAATTCTCACTGCTACTGAGCTCTCGCACAAGGAAGTCTAAGACTTATTGAACAGGGCCGCAGAAGCCTTCACTTTTCCTTCCTTAGTCTTAATCTTAAGACTGTTGTGTACCATCACACTTTAACTGTACAAGGCATATTCACAACTGACTGGGACTTTAATTTTTAAAACAATCATACAGGTTTCACAATTTGTTAATATGTCATGGACAGCGTAAGAAGATACCACACATGCTCTACAAAACAAGGAATCCTGGTCTATATACGTGCCTCAGTGAACTCCTATTTACTGCACCTCAATTCAAGGTTTTCTCTCAATTAACAACCAATTTCAGTAATCCAAAGTCAATGACCTCAGTACTTGATGCTCTCCATTCAAGGTTTTCCTCAGGCTACTGATCAAACCTGGCATGTAGGTATCGCTGTATTCTGCTGAAGAGCAATGATTTCTTAAGGGATATTCCATACAATTACGATTATCCTAGTGAGACAGACTGGAACACAATGTCACTTTCTCGCTCACCTGGCAACAAGCTATAACATTGGGTGTCATCTTGAGAGGAAGTTCTATCATCTCGAGACTGGCAGGTCCTGACTGCGTACTGCTTGGGGTAACACGGCCTGCAATTCTGGCTCTCATTGGCTGTTGTACCATACTTGGGACACCCCAGTTGGCATAGACACGAACATAACTACACTCCTTTCCTTGACGACTCTGCTTCACCTCCAGTGTTGCAACATAATTGCCTGTTCACAGAACGTTCATTTCTGTCAATGTTCCTCATCCATTTCCATGAAACTGCGCTTCAGGAAGACCAACACAGTGTGACCAACCCCTCAGCAAGTGAACATACTCCTAAATCCTACAGGACTCAGACAATCATATATATTACATTTACAGTTACTAGGATCCTGAACTTTGCCCACTGGCCAGTATTGCAAACAGAAGAGTGTTTCAGAAACCACAAATCTTTCCATCTCAAAAACATGAGAAGTCACTAAGTTCTGTGTGAAACACAAACACATTCTAATGTAAACAGATCCTTAATTATGAATAATCATGGAATATTACATTGAAATAACCATAAGAAGTGCCTGCTACATTCATGGGCTTTCTTAAAATAAACTGCAGCGATAATCACATTATGAAAACTCCCACTGACAATATAAACAGGGTACAGAAAGCATGACAGTATACGTCACTCCTCATTTTTATTCTGTTGTGGTACTGCATAACTGCTTTATGGATTGAATGGTTGCCACACAGTGAACCTGCACATAACCCCCCACCCCTCTTGCCATGCTGACAGCACAATATAGCGGAATGTTCACAGATACTGCATCTTAACATCAACCCACTACAGCGTAATATTTTTAGAAAGATCTGATATATACCACACTAGAATTCAAGATGGTCCTCCCTCTCTAAACCAAAGAAACAGGATGAAAATCCTTTCCTTAGATTTAGGTAAATACAGTGCATGTTTCATAAGCAAAAATATTATGAAAACAGATCATACAACCATTTTAGAACGCATCCACACTGCTTACTCCAAAATACAGTAAAACAGCCCTCCCACAGGCAGAACAAACTTTCACATCCCAAGAAATGCTGTAGCGACCAATTTCAAACAAATTTTAAGATACGATGAACGGTCTAAGCCACAATGTTAATCAATAAGAGTAAAAGCAGCTGTTACCACGGCAACAGTGAAGCACCTGGCGTGCCTGATCAACTGTAGGAAACCTGAGGGTAACATCCCCTCCCTTTGACAGATCTCGAATCTCCACCTGGTGCTGGGGTAAGGCCAACAGCAAGTAATCAGGTGAAGCAGTAGTTGCAGAAACAGGGTCCTCACAAGTGTGGATGTCCTGGCTCACGAAGTGGTGCACTGATATCACACGCACCATCCTGTCGGCGTACCCACTGCAGTGTCTGTCAAGGCACAACACAAACTTCATGCAGATATCAGCTGAGAGACTAATGCAATGCGTGGCCAAAGATGGCCCACTTGTGGCAGGCACACTTATGAGATACATTAGTGGAATTCAAAAGGCAATAAGCATGCTTCTGTACCATTCTGGATACACTTCAGGCCTGTAGGTCCTGTAAACTACAAATCTTGTGAACATGGCAGTAAACTTTCGAGGTTCTACAAATGGCACAAAATTTCTCAAGGCCTCTGCTTAGGTGTACTTTAAATGAAATTGAACAACAGCAAGAAACAACACATAATACAACAGAAATGATGAAATACAATTGTTGGCTGTGTTATTCTTTGGTGTCTGTGAATGCTTTTCAAGGAATTCATCCATCAAGGATTGTTTTATCATTTGTATACAGAACAAAAATCTACAGCATAAATTACGCCTAATGAACCTTCTGAAACTGTAATAAATTTAAAATATTTTGGTACTGGAAGAAATAAGAGCACACACCGTGACATAAAATGATCGATATATTCCTATCAATAACTGACGTAAACTGCGACAGCGTTATTATATTCCATATTTCCATATAAATCATAATTTGTCACACACTGCCAACACACAACCTTATAATTAAGCTACATGGAAACGTTAAGCTTTTAAATGTGGAAGTTCAAAGGGAACACTTTATTACACACGGCCAATATTTAAACAATAAAGGCAAAAAGCTAGTTTCTTTAGAATTATCCAGATTAGTAAAACAGTGCCTAAAAAAGGAAACACCTGCTCCTATACAAATGCAATGGAAGCAAGAGAAATCTGATATTCATAATAAAATTGTTAAAAATCATGAACATGTCCTTGATAAGGATTCCTTAATGCTGAACAATGATCATACTAGTATAATTACACATGAAAAAACTTATCACATAGCACAGAACAGGAAATGCATGGCAAAGTAGACAGAGCTCATGTACGTAGAACTTCAAGTAGACAAAAAAAAAAAAAACACCATCTCAAGGAATAAGGATTTTTTTATGGTAGATGTTTATTCAAATAGACCAGAATGTTCAAGGAATAAGATTAAGAAGAGTGATGACTTAAAGATATTTCATCAAAATATAAATGGTATGAAAGGTAAAATAAATGAATTAATGCTTTCTTTAGTAAATGATGAACCTAGCATAATCTGTTTATCAGAACATCATTTAAATGTAATGAAATGGATGGTACTCATACAAATTTGGTGCCGGTTACTGTAGGAAGAAGCACAAAAAGGGTGGTGTCTGTATATTCGTTTACGAGGATTATAATTTCACTGTTCTCAGTTTGCAAAAATTTTCTAAAGAAAAGGATATTGAAACTGCAGCTATTAAATTAGAACTCAATAAAGTAGGGATAACTGTTCTGTGTATACATAGAGCCCCAGTAGGTAATTTTGACTACTTTTTAAACAAACTGGATTTTATTCTCAACTCTCTACATAAATTTAACTCAGAATTCATAATATGTGGAGATTTTAATATCAACTACTTAGAAAATAACAACAGGAAATCTAAACTAGAGACCTTGTTAAGTACTTATAACCTTAAGGATACTGTTAAGTTTCCTACAAGAATTACTAATATGTCAGCCTCGCCAACAGATAATATATTTACTGATAACAGACATAGCTATAGCATTAGGCCATGTAAAAATGGGCTCTCTGACCACGATGTGCAGCTTGTTACTTTCAGGAATGTTACTGTGCCTAATGGTGTTTCTCGCCCTACTTTTATAAGAAATATCAACAAGAATAATATTGAAGATTTTCAAAAGTTATTAAGTTGGGAATGCTGGGGAAACATCTTTGAGAATAATATTGTTAATACTATGTTCAACAATTTTCATAATACGTATCTAAGATGTTTATATACCTGCTTTCCAAAAAAANAAAAAAAGAAGTCAAGCATAATGTTTATAACAACAAATGGATTACACAAGGGATTAGGATTTCATGCAAAAGAAAGAGAGTTCTCTTATTGCTAAGCAGGCATTGTGAAGATTTAAATCTTAAAATATACCATAAATTATATTGTAAAGTATTGNCAAGGAATAAGATTAAGAAGAGTGATGACTTAAAGATATTTCATCAAAATATAAATGGTATGAAAGGTAAAATAAATGAATTAATGCTTTCTTTAGTAAATGATGAACCTAGCATAATCTGTTTATCAGAACATCATTTAAATGTAATGAAATGGATGGTACTCATACAAATTTGGTGCCGGTTACTGTAGGAAGAAGCACAAAAAGGGTGGTGTCTGTATATTCGTTTACGAGGATTATAATTTCACTGTTCTCAGTTTGCAAAAATTTTCTAAAGAAAAGGATATTGAAACTGCAGCTATTAAATTAGAACTCAATAAAGTAGGGATAACTGTTCTGTGTATACATAGATCCCCAGTAGGTAATTTTGACTACTTTTTAAACAAACTGGATTTTATTCTCAACTCTCTACATAAATTTAACTCAGAATTCATAATATGTGGAGATTTTAATATCAACTACTTAGAAAATAACAACAGGAAATCTAAACTAGAGACCTTGTTAAGTACTTATAACCTTAAGGATACTGTTAAGTTTCCTACAAGAATTACTAATATGTCAGCCTCGCCAACAGATAATATATTTACTGATAACAGACATAGCTATAGCATTAGGCCATGTAAAAATGGGCTCTCTGACCACGATGTGCAGCTTGTTACTTTCAGGAATGTTACTGTGCCTAATGGTGTTTCTCGCCCTACTTTTATAAGAAATATCAACAAGAATAATATTGAAGATTTTCAAAAGTTATTAAGTTGGGAATGCTGGGGAAACATCTTTGAGAATAATATTGTTAATACTATGTTCAACAATTTTCATAATACGTATCTAAGATGTTTATATACCTGCTTTCCAAAAAAA